CCACAAGGAGAGAAAAAATAAAAATATGAAATAGGGTTTTCTCCCAAACCCTTGCCAAATACACTGGAAGGAAATGGTAAGAGTGGTGGAGACCATCCCAATGTCAACATGTGGGGCTGCAGAAGCATTGGCTGTAATTGAGGCTGCAGAAACAATTCCTGGAGTTTTGCAGCAATATGTTAAGAAAGCATAAACAGGCTGGTTGTCCCTGCAGGGCTGAAGGAAGCCAAAGGAGAAGCCAGTGGCTCTAAAGCTGCCCTGGAGACAGCACAACATGAAGGAGATGTTTATGCAAAGGCAGGCAGGGGCAGCTCTGTGAGTTTGCAGGGACAAGCCAGGTTGCAGAACAATGAGATAAAGAGATGCAGGCATTGTTAGGGGGTTTGGGAGAATGTGCATTTCAGAGTTCAGCAAGACAGAACACAGGGAAATGCTCAGCCAGGAAAAAAATCTGGTTATTATTTTAATTATGTCATGAGTCAGAAAGCAAATTTTAGTAGAAACAAATGGGATGGGCCACTAAAGCACAAAGAGTGGAGGGGGAACAGCAGATACTACAAGAACTTTCTTTTTCTTAGACCTCTCCTAAAGCAGAGCTCAATGCTGTGGTTTCTTCATGGAGAAAAGGATCTGGGTGTTGTCTCCATTTTTGTTTAATGCAACATGTGCTCACAATTCATTTATTTAATTTCAGCTGTGTGAAGAAACCTAAGAAAAGGCAGCAGAAAATTCATTACCTGGACTTCTTTGAGTAGTTTAGACACCTGAATAAAGTTGAGTCTGGTGTCAATGGGGCAGTAAACACATTTCATTGCCAAGGGCTGATAGGGAGCCAGAGCATCCAGGTAAGAGAAATCAGGTTCTGGAAAGAGAAATGTTGAAAACACTCAAAGCCCATTAACAACAAAAATGGCCCAATTCCTCTCTAATTCCAGTTTAGTCAGAGCTGTTGCTCAATGTTAATTTTGTTACAGATTTCTCTTCCCTTCCTCCTTCCCCCACCCATTATTTTCAATTAATTTGATGAAAATTACGCCCACAATTAGTCTTACCTTAATCAAGCAACAGAGCAATACTATTTCATTTGAACACATTATTGCATGATTTTTAGAACAAATTTAATCAAGACAAAACCATCATCTCTTATTTTTAATCAGATCCTGAAAAGGAAGGCAAAATGTAGACATTTTGAGTCTTGTGAGGTGATTCAAATGGCAAGCTGGTTTTCAGTGTGACAAAAAGGCAGCATAAATATGATATCTTGATTTATAAATATATATATATATTTATTCTTTTCAATCTAAGAGTCAGGTTTAGACTGGTGGGAAACCAAGGGCTCTTTTATTACTGGATTAGAGGTTTGCCAGGGAAAAGTCAGGCACTGAATGGGCTTTTACTCCCACAGAGAGTAATAAAACATTGAGAATGCCACAGAAAAAGATTTTTTTCTTATGTTTTTTGGTGAATGACAAATGTAGATCTCAGGTGACACAGTGTAGGATACAGGTAACCTCTTGATTCTGGGGGTCACCAACGAATGTGGAAAAGATTATGCCATCCCTATCTCCCTGATAATTGTGGGATAGATGGGACAAAGGGAATGCTGGAAAAAAAAGGGACTGGGATGAGTTTGGTAAGTACAGAATGGGAAAAGAGAAGAAAAGTCTCATCTGCTGGATTATCCTGAACCACAGGGCCTCAAAGGACACCAGGCAGAGCAAAGTGCAGCTCAAGCCTGGCTGGAGGAATTCTCTGGGATCTGCTTTACTTGAAAGGATGAAATTAAAGGAAACTGAAATTCAAAGCCTCCAGTCCAGATTTAAAGAGCCATCTAAGATGCTCTGACATGGCAGCAGAGCAGAGCTTGGATTTCTCATGCAGACAGAAAGGAAAAAAAATCTCCTTCAAACCTTACCAGAGGAAGTTCAGCACCAGTGTGACATCCAACAAAAAGACAAGTTAATTGCTCACCTAAAAATCAAAAAAATCTAAAAATCTCCAAATCTGCTGCTGGCTAAGCAGCACTGAGCACCACGTGGGGATGTTTACCCTGAGAGAGCAGAACATGGCACCAGGCAACGATACAAATATTTGGAACTGTCAAAGGGATAATTTCCCCAAGTTTAAAGCAATTGTCAGAGTAGCTGCCTGGGAACATTAAAGTGAGAGATATTAACAAAAAATGAGCCTTGTACAAGGACGTGTACACGAAGCCATGAATCCACAAACATGAAGTAAAATTACACTGGGCAAAACGCCATGGTATTAAAAGCAGATGTGGTGGTGGCAATGAAACAAAGCCTAAAAATATCGATGTAAAAATGGTATTTTATGTCAGTTAAGTTTAATAGCCATGAATAGAAATGTAAAAATAGGAGTACTGAGAAAGTTGGTAGTTGAAGAATGATCAGTTAGGGTTAAATGACAAGGCATTAAAAAAGTAATAAGGGTAAAACAGAAAGCTTAAGTCAGGCAGAGGTTCTCTGCTAGAGATATGCTGTGAAATTGTAAAAATTAAGTTTAAAAGTCACCAGAAGGGAGGTTTTCCGTCCCATCTGGGGTTGTGGAGGACACAGAGATTTGAGGCAGCACCTGTTCAGCATTTCTCAATGTACAGACATGGAGTTCTGGTCTAGGAATCCCAAATAAAATCCAGTCCAAAGCCTCTCTGAACTCCTAATAAGGACAGGAGAGCCTTGGAAAAGGGAGAAATTCTAGGGAAGGAATCCTAACACAGGACTGAGGAGATTCAGAATGTTGAAAACACAACTTGAGCTGGGCTCACAGGGAACTCATGTGACACACAGGAGCTGCTGCTTTGAAACCACCCAAAATCCCAAAGTCACCTGTCTGGAGGCAGCAAGTGCTTGTCAAGGACACATATTGACTTTTCCTGACAGAATTACACGTCTTTAGCTTCTCCCCCAAGACTCCTGATTTACTGCTGCATGACACTGAGTTATAAAACCTTCCACTGTACAGCAGTGACGTGCATGAGCTGGTTTTAACATCTCCCAGGGAGTTGGTTCTTAAAGGAGACTTCTTTATACCGTGTCTTCTCCTAGCATTTCTTTGTGGTTCAGTGGTATTCGATATTTTGAATCAATAATCTCCTCAATACTGCTCCAGCAGTGATGGCTGCAGGTGACACCAGCCAGCAGAGCAGCACCACAGCTCCCTCACAGCCAGGTCCTGGCTGCTGGCTGCTTTAATTTATATTCTTGTCATTGTTTTTTTTTTACATTACAGATTGGAAAGGTGGAGATTGACTGGTTCCTGTGGACTGAACAAGCAGTGTTCATTAACAATGCAGGATGGTCTGGAGTTTAAAGGTTCCAATTACCAGAAACCAGGAGTTTTTCACAGGAAAAGCTACAACATCATCTGCTCTCACACACTGCTCCAATGGACTGGGCTTCTTTCAGATCCACAGGAGATTTTAGCTTAAAACAAAAAGTAATTAAATAATGGAAATCAGTGGCATCAGTGGAGGTGCTTCAGATTTTCACTGGTACTAAGAACAGGAGAATTTAATCTGCTAAGAATTTCTATAGCCATAGAATCATTCAGGTTGGGAAAAAAAATCACAAATGTCATCAAGTCCAACTGCCAAACCCAAATTCTGTGTTTTGTTCCAGCTGAGACAACCATAAGGAAATAGGCCTAGGACTAGACAGTCATAAGGCACTGGAGTTATGATAGTCCATAAAAGCCATGGATGGACAGAATTTAAGAAAAACACCCCAAAACCATCTGGAATCAGTGTGCACTCCAAGGTCACCCAACTAAAGCAGCTCTCAACTGGAGTTTCACAAAGTGGGAATGAATCTCCAAGCCCATGACCTGCTGCACCCCCAGGCTGTCAGGAGTGACATTTCCACGCCTTGACAAGCTGCCAGGGCCAGCTCTGACAGAAGTGCTCGATTGCCTCAGCTCACTGAAGGGCTGGGATCTCACACAGAAAGGTCAAGTGCCTCTCCTTACAGGAGACACAGAGGAAGAGTTCCTGCCATTAAAGGCCAGTTCCTGACACCCTGGGCAGCACATTCACAACGTGATTAACGCCACTGCTTCCCCTGGGATTCATGGAACACACACCCCAGCAAAGCTCTGCAAACTCGGGCTTAATTGAAGTCCTGACTGGAGGAAAATTCACTATTTTCAGACAATGCATATCCAATTTTACCCAATTACTGTAATTAGGGCATGTCTCCTGAACTGCCTCAAAGGTCAGGAAGGAAGGGCCCTGCAGCAGCTCTACCTTTAGTGCTGTGGTACCTTGCACCATTTCCCCTCACAGAAACAGTCTGGATTTAAGTTCCCTGCAGGAACTCCCTTGTATCTCCCCTCCCATTGAATAGGGTTAATTATACACTAAAAATATCCCCAATATGTGATACTGTCACACTTTTTGGTGGCAATATTGTGAAAGGGGCTTGCTTGTCACTAGCCTCGAGTCTATAGTCAAACCTGGCCTCAAAGGTCAGGAAGGAGGGTCCCTGCAGCAGCTGTACCTTTAGTGCTGTGGTACCTTGCACCATTTCCCAGCACAAAACCAGTCTGGATTTAAATTCCCTGCAGGAACTCCCTTGTATCTCCCCTCCCACTGAATAGGGTTAATTATACACTAAAAATATCCCCAAATTGGCTTAACAGTATCATGATATTCTCACACTTTTTGGCGGCAATATTGTGAAAGGGACTTGCTTGTCACTAGCCTCGAGTCTACAGTTAAAAAAAAAGAGAAAGAAAAAGGAAATAACCCTTTCCCAGCCCTCTTTTGTTCAGGTTTTGTGCTTTCCAGCAGCTTTCCTATTCACTAAAAACTGGAGGAAAATAAACTTAACAGTGAGACTCCATTGTACCCTTGCTGTGGGAGAAGGTTTGATTTGTTCCTCAGGGCTCTCCTCCCCAGTTCTAATTACTTTGTCCAAAAATCCACACCACAATTTTTACCTGGCTAGGTCATACAGAGCACACCTCCCATTATCTCAGAGCTCCTCAGACACAAAATCAGGAGTGAGGACCTAAAGGGTGATTGTTTGCCTTCTCAGCTGAGGACAATGCCCACTGCAGGGCTCTGTCAGGGTGACACATCAGGTACAAATACACCTGATCAGCTCCAGGGAAGGCCATGAAGGATTTTTAATCAGGGTCAGCACTAGAAGCAGATGGAGAGAAGTGGAAGAACTTAACAGACCTGTTGAGCACTGAGAAAGGAAACAGCTCCCCTGGGGAATGAGGCAGAGCTGTACCTTCAGCTACAAATGTGTCTGCCAGGCAAAAACCACCTGAACAAAGCTCAGCCCAAAGGCAGGAAGAGCTCAGACCCCTGTGCCAGGTCTGTGTGGGGTGCACACTTCTGGGACAGCAGAGAGGACAGAAACCTCTTCAGAAACCCTGAAAGATGAAAAGGCAGGAGAAGGGATGAGGAAAAGTTTCTTCCTGGAACAGTTTCTTCCTTTCTGACCAGCATCCATTAGGTCTTGCCTGGGTTTAACTTGCAGCCAGCTGCTTTTAATTCAAAAATTAATTTCCTGTAGGCATTTTACTGCTGTGCATAACAAAGATTTTGCTCAGACGTGGCAGGAATAGACTCTGCATGGCAAAGGTTGACTCTGCAGGGCTACACTGAATTAAATGGCACAATAATTACATTTGTCCCTGCAGTCAGTCCTGGGGCCCTAATTTAGATAAGCTCCTACTGAAGTGAAAAACTTCTGTCCCAGAACAAATGAGCAAAGCCCCAAGGATGTGGCCACACTTAAGCAGAGTGCATGAACTGTTAATCTGATAATGATATCAGCATTTTACTTACCTGTGAATATAACAGTGTTCAAGCTGGATTTTCCCCACAGCTCCATGAAATGCACCACGTCCCCAAATCTGAGAGAGGGATGCCCAGTGAACACCACACAGGGCTGCTTGAAGTCATTGCTGAAGTCTCCATGGATGCTGGGATAATGTTTCAATTTGTTTGTCTGAATGAGCTGAAAGAAAAACAAAAAAAAATCCAGACAGGGCAACTTTTCATGCCTCTGTGCATGAGTGTGCTTGTTTACATGAGATTATAAATGTTCTACAATTTATTCCTAACTCATCAGAGAGTCCCTTAGATTTTTCCAACAAATTCAGTCATGACTGTCATAAATGTTATGGAAAGGAAGTCAGAACATGGGGCCTCCAAATCCCTGCTCTCACTTCTTTGGTACCAGCAGGGTGGAAACTCTGCAAACACTCCCTGCTTCGACTTCCCTGGTGTGAGCAGAGTGCTCAGCTGCCAAATTCACAATAAGCTCCTTTTTTCCTATTTGCCATGTCTGCAAAGAGCTCTGGGCTCATGTTTAACCTGCTTTTCTTGCATCACAGCAGTAGCAGGCACTTTTGCCTTCAGCAGAATGCTGTTGAGCTTCCCTGGTCTAAAGGGTTCACACAAAGTCAAAGCTGCTGAAAAAGAACAGACTGACTTTCCTTTCCTTAACTGTCTCTGAAACCAGCAATAAACATGAACTAAGAGCAATAAGATGTTTTGCAGACACAGTGCAATCAGCTCTGCAGGTGGAACAGATTTCTTTACTAAGATGGAGAAGTTTATTTATCAAGGCACTTTGCAAAGAGTTTTGCTTTATTTCTCCTGCCGCTGTTTTCTAATCTGCAAAACAAGGTGCAACTTAAAAAGCAATTTAACAACCAGGCTGTGAAGCACTTTCATGCAATATTTTGCAAGTTTTTCCTTGGCAGGTATATGCATCCATCTCCAGCATGAAAAGAACTGTAAATACAGTTTAAAAAGCAAGGAATTTAACACATGAAATCACAGACTGAATAGATGAGAGAAAGATCATGGAGATAAAGAATGGGAGGGAGGGAGGGAGGGGGGCTTCCTTTGTGAGCCAGTTTCAAAAGGAACTTGGGCTGTTCAACAAATCATGGAATCCTGGAATGGTTTGGGTTGGAAAGAATCTTAAAGCTCATCCTGTTCCACCTCCATTCCACTGTCCCAGGGTGCTCCAAGCCCCATCCAAGCTGGCCTTGGACACTTCCAGGGATGGAGCAGCCACAGCTTCTCTGGGCACCTCTGCCAGGGCCTCCCCACTCTCACAGGGAAGAATTTCTTATTTTCTCCCTAATATCTCATCTAAACCTTCCTCACTTCAGCTTAAAGCCATTTCCTCATGTCCTGTGTTACTTTTTACCATGGCTGATCTAAGGTGCCTGCATGGAAATGAAGAGAAACTGGGAATTTTCAGCCACTTGTACACCACAAAGCATAATTCAAGGTTATTCCATAATTCTGTAGATGCACATGGATCATTTCCACGTGGATCCTTGAATCATGGAGGAGGTAGAAACTGGACTACATTTTCTGCAGTTTACAAGGAACAGCTAATTCCCATTTAATCTTCAAGAGGGAAATTGGAAAAAAACACCCAATAACTGCTCTGGCAGTTGATAGGCACTGAATCTCAAAAACATTCCTGCAATTATACTGGTAAAGATTTCTGATTAACACATCTGGAGTGCAGGGTTTAGAATCTAAACTTAGCTTCAGTAATAAAAACTGCAGTTTAGCAGACAATGGGTAAAACAAATTTGAATCCATAAAATACTGACATTTAAATGAACTTGTAGGAAATGGCCTCAAAAAGCTTTTTTCTGTTTGGTTTTTTTTTTTTTTTGAGGGAAGTCAAGTGTCCCAAAACTAAAATTGCAGAAGCACTTTCAACCGGGTAAACTGGAAGAGGAGGATGATTTCTATTTCAAGCATTAAATGGGATATGTGACATTCCAGAGGAAAACTTTTCCAGGGACAGGCAGATAGGTCAGGGAAAGACATTTCTACAACCACCATTGACCTAAGACACTCCTGAAAAATCACAACCTGTTGTTCCAGCTTCTTTCACAGGCCCCTTCAAATGATATTTATTTGCATGCAGCATTCAGATTTTTGGGAAGATCTGAGGGCAGCACTGGATGTGGAAAGCAGTGAACAGCTCATTTCCCTGCCATCCCTCCACAAGCATTCACTGCTCAGCAACATAAAAGCTGTATTTTCTTCAAAGCCTTATGGAAGCTTCAAATCCTCTCCTATTGCTTTGTAAAGAAACACAGGAGCTCTAATCCAGTTTTCAGGAGCTCGTTGGTGACGATTCTTTTTTCATCTTTTGTTTTTATCTTGCCAGATCTTTTCTGCTGAGTCTGGTGAGGCTTCAGAGCTCAGCTCACAATCCCTGACTCTCACAGGTGGACAGAGCATGGGTGAAAGAGTACAAAAATAAGTTTAGAGATGTTTTACTCCAAGGGGAAAGCAGCTGGTAGATTTTAGTATCTACAGTAAAGTCTCTTCTAATCACCCCATCAAAAACATACGGAGCTGAACTTGCAAAACAGGTCCAACAAAAGTTCCCAGCTCATTAAGGGGACTGAGTTTGGAATGATTTGTGCAGGTTTTTTTGTTATCTCCAGATGAGATGGGGTGTGTAAACTTTGCTGTGCCATGGTCAGACCTCCAGCTGGGCCAAACCCAATGCCTGGCATTGAGCCAGTCAGTATTTCCACAGTGGGCTTTTTCTGGAGAGCACAAGCAACATTCAGAGCATCTTTTTACAGGAAGAACCACTATTGACTGAAAGCTTAAGAGACAGGGGCTGGGAAAGTACTGAATCAAGAGTGAGAGCTGCGTTTTTCTGAAATCCCAAATGGTTCTGTGCTTCCCTTTAAAGCTGTGCACTTGATTTACAGGGTCAGCAACTGCTGCTATAAACAGGATAAATCTCCAGAGCCTTTGTGTATCCTTTGTTGAAGTGAGCCAAAATACACAGATATTTACTCTGTGTGTGTGTGTGTGCTCTGTATCCAGAATTTGGAACAGATGTGGCTCCTATCAGGAAATGAGAGATGCATTTATTACTTCACCTCCCTCACTCCATCAGATCAACACTAAGAGAGGCCTAATTTTATCACAGAATATCCAGAGTTGGAAGGGACTCCCATGGATCATCGAACTCCTATATGATAATATTTATTATAAAACAAACCATAATATTCCACAATCACCTGGTTCCAGGTATTTATTTAAATGTGTTATGCAGGAACTGGTAAATGGAGGAGGGAATCAAAGATGAAGAAGACAAATGGTGGTTTTTAAAATCACAAAATCAATATTACTCCCACCCTGGCTCTTTTTTGAGTCAGAAAAAAGGGGTTTTGCAGCCATTTCTCTTAGATCTATCCAACAGAATCCTTAATAAGAGCACAGTAAATCCAAATCCTCCCTCCACTGGCAAATACTGATCAATACAAATTACCTCTCAAATTTTATTGTCGGAGACATTTAGAGGAGTCTGGATTCACTTATCTTAGAGCCTGAAATTGTCCATGTACAGATCGAACGGAGAGGAACAATTCAGCTCCAACAACTGAGCCATTCCTTTATAAACCCAAACCCTCCACCTCCACCAAAGGGATGGGGCAGAGTGAACAATCCATGGATCCTGTTAAAATGATCAAGGAGAACCCTAATTGCACATCTGGGGCTGTGCTGGGATTGGAATCTTACCATTCCCATATGGAATTTGGTAAGACACCAAATTCTGGTTCTGGGATACCAGAATAACAAATCTAAGCTAAACAAATTACTGGTTTGTGCTCCACAGTACTTAGCAAGGCACTGAGGAGCCTCAATCTGAGCCTATTTAGAAAGTTGATCCTTGGACAGAATGGATGCAGGGGCTTGGAAGGGAAAGCCTCCCCCTGCCTTGCCAGCTGTGTTGACAAATATTTGGGATCTCCAGGTTTTGACTTCGCAGTCAGGGCAGCTCTTCCCTCAGAAATGCCTTTAAAAAGAAGCTCTTAGTTAGTGCACCACTAAAAGGCTGCACAACAAGAACCTGGACACTCCATTTTCACTAATTTTAGCATGAACTGATGTTCAAATCCATCCCTATAAACCTGAAGTGCTTCAGCCCACATTCCTTGCTCCTAAGAGAGGGAAAGCATTCCCTGTTCACTCAGACTGAGGTTAGGAAGCAAACTGCCACCACGAGAACTGTGCCAGGACTGTGTAGGAGGAGGCAAGATGAACATCTACTGCTCCATTAAAGAGGAATTAAACAAGGAGGGAGAAATGTTTTAGGTCCTCTGCAGAGCTGAACATGTGTCTGGCTTTATTCAGCAGAGCAGAACAAGGAATGAGTTCAAAACACGCGACATAAATCATAAAAGGAAAATTTCCAAGCAGAGAGAGAATGCAAAAGCTTCAAACAACTGAGCATGGAGAGTGAGGAGAAATAAAAATAGTAATTGTAGAGACAATGAAGATGCTTTTATTTACCCTCTTGTGACAACAATAAAGGCATAGTTAAGTGAAATGCCAAATACAATCACAGCTGATTAAAGGAAGGAATTATTCTGTTCTACCACACATCAGGCACTGCTGGAACTCACTGCTGCGAGGGACAACATCGAGGATTTGGGGGATTTTTTGCCTTCTTTGTTTTTAAATCTTGCTGTTTATACAACTAACAGGAACATCAAATTTCAGGACCAGCAGCATGCTGGGCTGGGCTTGTTCTGTGGATAATTAGAAGCTTATTTCCTGGCCTGTCCCTCTCTGATGTATCATGCCAGGCATGTTATTAATGCTTCCTAAGAAGTAAGAGGCATGTCTGAGTAATTCCCTATTTTTCTCCAACAACTGAGCAGTTAAGCACATCTTTTCATGATGGGCAATTTCAGCACAGGTTACATTGCACAAGCCTAGCATTACTTTGAAAAAAGCCAAGCAATTCTCCACTAACAACCTCTCTGATAGAAACCATCATTCACTGTCTGCTTCTGATACTCATTAAAAATCCCCTGAAGTGCCAGTAAGCAAAGCTCCTGCTTGGGGGGGAGATGGGTTGTGGAGGCCCAGGATTGTGCTGGAAAGAGATTTTCTGGATGTTTCACACTGTGTGAATTAAATAGAGTGTCAGGTGGGAGATTCTGGAGGTTTAACAAGGGACACAAGGTGCTGAGCACTGGGGTTTGGCATGGACATCCCATGGGATATTCCATGGGCTATCCCATTCCTCCCTCTGTGCAGGGATCCACTGCTGGGAGGCCTTTCCTACATAATTACCTGATCTACACATGAAACACAGAGCAGGTCTTGCAAAGCTGTTCCAATAATTCAGTAAAATCTCACAATCAACAGGCCCCCAGAGAATATAAAATGTCCCAGGAATCAGAGGACAGAGTTATCACTTTATAAACACAAAAACCCATTGTATAAGATGGGTTAATTAATCCATTCTTTGACAGCTGCATGTTTGGATTCTCATTTTTGGATGGGTTTCCACTTCAATCCGCCAGTTCCAGTGAATATTGTAAATCAGAATATGGGCTGGCAGTGAATCCAATGACACTGTGGATCAACAAGGACATCCCAGAAAGGAGGGATGGAGGGCAAGACAGAAAGCACAGCCACAGCAAGGCTGCAGAGCCTCGTACTCAGAGAGTTTGGAATTGATTTATCAGTGGGAATGAATTTTTTGGTTATAAAATAAGTGGTGAACAGGTGGCTTGCCCTGCAGTCCACATTATTCTTGGTAACAGATTATACATAATTCACTGCACATCCTGCTTGCAACACATTCAAGCATCTGGAAAGAGTGAGGGCTCCTGGTCAGATCCTACTTCCAACAACCTTTGAAGCACCTACAGATGATAGATATGATGGGTAATGGCAATTTCCAGAACAAGTCCCTGGATGAGATATATAAGAGGAAAAAAACCACCCAGAGTCTGTAAAAGCATTGAATTTCTGGGCTCTTAAACCTGCCATGGCCACTCTGCACTTCTCATCAAACAGTCTGGACCACAGCAGCTGAAGGAGCCAAGTTTCTGCTTGTACCAAGTGGTTCAGTGGCTCACAGGAGGAGGATTTAGCTAAAATTTTCAGTCCTGTTTCTTCCTTTCTTCTCTTGTTTACTTCAGTGGGAAAGCTACCTGTTCCCAGAGGAGAATTTTCTGTCCTGCTGTGTGAGGTAACTCTGAAGGCATCAGTTTTATTTAATGTCTGCTTGGCTAAAGCTTCTCCTAAAATTATTATTTTGTTGCAGGAAAATCCTCCAAATCCTCATTCCTCTTTGCTTCATTAGAACACTTAATAATTTCATTTAAAATTGCCACAGACAACACTCAGTGCTGCAAACTTAAATTTTGATATCAAAATCTCTCTTTCAAGATATCGTTCCTCCTGCAGCAGACGTGATGCCTGCCTCAGTGAGGGAGGAAGGAGCTGGCATGACTAAGCTGTCTCTGATAACAGCTCTTAGTTTCACAGACTTGGAAATAAACTGCTTGGACAAAGGGAATGCTCGTGGTTGCAGCTGATAAGAGCAAACATCCCACACCAGATCTCCTTCTGTGGGGGAAGGAGTGAACCAGGCCAGCCTGTGCAAGTGATAGGCTGGAATAAACAGGGTAATTTTGGAGTTCAGGGAACACCATCACTCATTCCTCCCCCATGCTCCCAAATTCATCACAGAAATCAAAGGAAAAAAAACATTTTTATGAAAAATTAAACAAAACTTAAATAGCTGTAAAAGGGTTCATGAGAAAAATTAAAAAAATGACAGCTACAGTGGGTGGACTGTGATCCAGAAAATGAACAAGACCATGGTAACTCACCTCAGCGTGGGGAAAAGGAGGTTCTGGAAGATACACCTTTGTTTGTTTGTTATGACACAACCTTTAAGAGAAAAGGAAAGCAGCCAGAGTTAGAGGTGCAGCACATCCTGCAGCATCTGCTGCCATCTACTGTTACACTCCTGGAGAAAACGGGTTTGGATCTGAGGCACCAGGTGCAAAATCCCCAATTTCTCCTGCTGCTGCCAGGGTTTGTGGTTGGAGGCCCCAGACCTACAGGACACAGCAGGATCACACAGAGATGGTGCAGGGCAGCTGAAGGTAATTCTGTACACACAGGAACAGCTCCTCTGCTGCTCAAGGTAAATCTGTAACTCAGCATCCACAATGGTTCCTCATCCAGATCTCAAAGCCAAATCATCTGTCAACAGAAAAATCCCACTTGCCTCATCCCACTTCTCAGCAGTGACTTGGTCTTTTTGGTCATTCTAATCCAATTTTCCTGCACATTTATTATTGGTAAATTGCCTCTCCCCACGGCCCAAGGCTCACAGTGACCTGGCATTTCCCATCAATCACTTATCTTTAAAACAGATATTGAGAGCTGTTGATGAGCTCTACCCAGACTCCTGATTCATCCTATTACAGCAGCTAAAAAAAGCTGCTTGTCAGAGGTCTGGGTGACGTGACAATGATCTGCAGTGACACTGTCCTGGTGGCTTTTCTGGGAAACACTGCCTGGCTCATTCTTGCACTTTATTACAAAGAAATGAGCCTGGGTCAAACTAATTTTGCTAAAGTCTAAGGGATACTAAGAGCAAGGCACTTCCTTTAGCTGAGTAAGGGGTAGAATTAAAAGCTGGAATCCCTGAATATCAACCACAGTTCTGATTCCAAACTTCTGTTTTAGAGAGGTTCAGCCTTTGCCTCCATTTCCATGTAAATTTACCAGATTTCAATCATCTTTACAATTCTCCTGGGGGATCGATTCCCACAAGATTTCCAGGACTTGTCTTTTCTTTCCTGAACTCCAGAATATGGAGAGGAAGAAGAGAAGAGCTACCTTATTGTATTTAACATTCTAGAGCATGTCTCCATTGGTAAGAATGTGGAAAGAGTTCCAAGTGGTTGAGTTCTCCTTTCCAGGGCTCAGAATCACAGAATGGTTGAGGAACCTCCTGAGATCACCAAGCCCAACCCTGCTCAAGCACTCTCAGCAGAGCAGATCATCCAGGACTGTGTCCAGCTGGACTTTGATGTCTCCACAGCAAAGTCTCCATAACCTCTGTGCACAGAGGCTGCAGTGTTTGACAGAATCATGGAACGGTTTGGGTTGGAAGGGACCTGAAAGATCACCCAGTTCCAACCCCTGCCATGGACAGGGACACCTTCCACCATCCCAGGCTGCTCCAAGCCCCATCCAACCTGGCCTTGGACACTTCCAGGGGAGGAGCAGCCACAGCTTCTCAGGGCACCCTGTGCCAGGGCTCACCATCCTCACAGGGAACAATTTCTTGCCAATATCCCATCTAACCCTGCCCTCTGGCAGTTTAAATCCTCTACCCTGATGGAATTTCACGTGTTTTAATTTGTTCTGTAAGTGGGCCTTGCTGAAGAGACTGAGCCCTGATCCTCATTACATCCTATCAGGTGTTTCTACACAATGATAAAATCCCCCTGAGCTTTCTGCTCTCCAGGCTGGAGAGCCCCAGCTCCCTCAGCCTCCCCTCATCTCCATGGCCCTGTGCTGGCCTCATTGCAGAAATCCCACATCCTTCTGCTACTGGGGAGACCAGAACCCCACAGAACACTGTCCATGTGCCCTCAGCAGTGCTGAGCAGAGCAGGATCTCCTCTCTTGACCTGCTGGCTCTGCTCTGCCTCGTGCAGCCCAGGACACTCTTGGCCTTTTCTTGCCATGGCTCAGCAAAATTAAGCCTGAAAACTCCATTTTGCTTAGCCATGGACATCATGGTAGAATCTGGGGGGCTAAGACTTGCAAACAGGCACAGGTAAAACCCACTCAAGTCAGGAACATAATTTACTCATTAGGGTAAGTACAAAAAAGCAGAGATTGAGTTTGTACTATAGGAAATGATCCTTCCCTAATTATAGAATATATTCTTACACACACACTCACACCCACACAAACACACACACACACACCCTGGTGACTCCAGGAACATGTTCACAATCCTAGCCAGGATTATTTTAGAATCTGACAGGTAGAGATAACCTGCACCTCCTCTTCCCACAGCTGAGGGTGCTGCCCTGGCACACCTACCACTCAGCAAAGATCTGGGAGAACTCCAGGGAGCTGTTGGCAACAGGTGAGATGAAATAAAAGGGGACATTGGAGAGTCCTGCAGAGTCAATGTACTGATAGAGGCACTCCAGCAGGT